GGTCTGTGGAGAGAAAGCAATTAGACGCTCCTACTATGTAGCCAGTAGAAAGAAGGCAGCCACATACCTGCTTCCTCCAACGCATGGTCCTGTAGGATGGACAGCTAAAGACCAGCAAGTCTCAGTAATGGGTACGGGATAGGGCTTATCAGATTCAGGGAAGGGATGCTCATGCAGTTTGAAAATATATATATTTAATATCATAACTGTGTGTTTTAACATTCTAAAAAAATCTATTTGTAAAAAATCACAACATCTTTTTAGAAAGCTGACAAGTATTACTGTAGCAGAGAGGAGTCTAGAACCCAAGTCTCCTAGCTCAATGATAGAAAGTAGAGGATTGTAAAGAGACCCGCTCAAGATCAGACTTCCTGGGTGAAAATACTGACTCATCTTCTTTTTCCTTAGCTCTGCTCCACAGATACAACCCATGGCATCCACTGTGGGGAAGAAAAAGGAGTCCTCAAATGCTCCGAACAGGCTGTCCAGGAGTGGGCTGGGTTTGCAGGTGCCATGCACTGCTCAGTCCCTGACTCAGCTGGTTCCTAGAGACTCTGGGATGCCTTTTTGGAAGACACTGGATGTTCATCACTGACTGTGAGGAGCCCAACTGAGATTCTTCTGCCACGATCTGTGTCTTTCCCTCCAATGGTCAAAGTGGAGGCATGGAGAAGAGTGCTGGTTATCTTGGCTACCAAGTCCAGGCTGAAGGTGGCAAAGGAGTAACACCCTGTCTGAGCCTTAGTTCAGGTCTCACTTCTAACAAGAGGCAGGCAAAGGTGTACCTAAGGCACAGCCGATATGACACATGCCCTGGCATCATGTGAGGGATTGCCAATGAGCAGTTTCTATTCACCACCACAACCTCTATTACCAGCTAGGAGAATCATTCAGCAATTTCAAACTAATTGCCATAGGTGCTATTTTCCATAGATTTGTCTCTGGAGGCATACTCAGGTAACAAAGAGTAGTTAAAAGTTTTTAATGATCGGTAGGTAGCCTAGATTCCTAACTCTTGCTCCATCTTTCTGCCTTCCGGCCAGACCTGACAGCTCCTTCTTGGCACTATGGCTCCAGAATGGGACAGAGGGGTTTCAGGAGGCAAGGGAGGCAGCTAGTGTAGTTGGCAGGGGATTGTATGACGGCCTGTGACTGGAGAGAAACCTCATCCTGCACAGACTCAGCTCCCAAAGATACAAAGCACCCTTGTCCATTCCTTGCCCCCTGCCCCTGGGCTCTGAATCTCTGTTACACACAGATCCCTGGAAAGTTATCTGCATACTTAAAAGAACATAGGTGCAGAAGAAGGGGCCAAACTGCCAATAACAAGAAGGTCTCGCTGTCATTGAGTCAATGATGACTCAAAGCAACTCCCGTAGGTTTCCAAGACTGTAACTGAAGTAGAAAGCCCAGTCTCTTTCCCTTGGAGCTGCTGGTGGTTGAACTGCCAATCCACAGTCCAGCTCGTAACCACTATACCAGGGTTCCTATAATAACAAGGAAAAAGTCCTCTTTTTATCAGATCCAGGTACATGGAAGTAAAGCTGTACCTACATTGAAAAAAATCATTTTATTGGAAGCTCATACAACTCATCGCAATCCATACACATGTACATTATGTCAAGCACATTTGTACATTTGTTGCCGTCATCATTTTGAAAACATTTTCTTTCTACCTGAGCCCTTGGTATCAGCTTCTAATTTTCCCCCTCCCTCCCTCACCTTCCCTGTCTCATGAACCCTTGATAATTTATACATTTTTTTTTTTCATGTCAAACTGACTGATGTCTCCCTTCACCCACTTTTCTTACTTGTAGATCATTGTGATCGGTTCCCCTTTTCTCCCCCAACCTTCCCCTTCCCCTTCTGGTATCACTACTATCAATATTGGTCATGAGGGGGTTATCTGTTCTGGATTTCCTGTGTTTCCAGCTCTTATGTGCTCTGGTCTAGCCAGATTTGTAAGGTAGATTGGGGTCATGATAGTGGGGGGAGGAAGCTTTAAAGAACTCGAGAAAAGTTGTATGTTTCATCGGTGCTATACTGTACCCTGACTGGCTCATCTCTTTCTTTTGACCCTTCTGTAAGAGGATGTCCAATTGCCTAGAGATGGGCTTTGGGTCTCCACTCTGCACTCCCCCTCATTTACAATGATATGATATTTTTGTTCCTTGATGCCTGATACCTCATCCCCTTGACACCTCGTGGTCACACAGGCTGGTGTGCTTCTTCCATGTGGGCTTTGTTGCTTCTGAGCTAGATGGCCACTTGTTTATCTTCAAGCCTTTAAGACCCCAGATGCTATATCTTTTGATAGCCGGGCACCATCGGCTTTCTTCACATTTGCTTATGCAGTCTTCAGCGACCATGTCAGGAAGGCAGGCATCATGGAATGCAGGTTAATAGAACAAAGTGTTCTTGTGTTGAGGGTGGACCTACATTTTTTAATCAAAGAGTTTGACATTCAGAAAGAAGGAAAATTAGCTTATCACATTTCAGACACACAGGTATGATACATGTTACTGTAGCATACTGGAGAAGCTCCCTGTCCTTGAGGGTTTAAAGTTAGCTAGTTGCTCCAAGATTTCTTGCTGGTTGGTGACTGTGTGCTTGGATGCAGCTCAAACTTGTAACCACTTTACAAGGTGCATCTGAGGATAGCAGGTCAATCTTCTGGGGCCACTTCATTATCAGCCACTTCAAGTCAGCCACCAACTCATGGCGATTCCATCCACATCAGAATCAGATCGTTTTGATCCATACAGTTTCCATTGGCTGAATTTTCAGAAAGAGATCACTGGGCTTTTCTTCTAATGCATCTCAGAGGCACTAAGAAAACCAGCTCAAACCCTGAGACACTCAAACACAGTGTTCCCTTGTTCTGCTCAAATGATTGCCTCTGGAACTATTTATATATTCAGATTTATATGTTATCTATTATACATTCCACATGAGCACAATTAAGTGTTCTGCCATTGCCAATCTTCACAATATTGACCATAATTAGTGATAATTCACCAGTCAAATGTCTTTTCGTGGTAAATGAAACACCAGTAGACACATCTTTCTGGTATTCTTTGCTTTCAGACAGGATCCATCTGGCATCAGCAATGATATCTCTCATTTCATGTCCTCTTCTGAATTCCTATTGATACAGCCATTTTTAATTATCTTTAGTAAAAAATATATTTTCATGTGCTATTTATACAATTGCTCAAAATTTTCCGCATTCTGTTGAAATGAACATAAATATAGATAGGTGTCTTCCAATCTGCTGACAAGGCCATCCAAATTCCTTTCAGCATTGCATTCGTTTGTTGAAACATGTCCACTGATATTCCCTTGATTCCCAAGGCCTTGTTTTCCACCAGTGTGTTCAATGCAACTTAGACTTTAGCATGATTGTTTCTTGATCATATGCTAGCTCTTGAAATGGCTGTGTCAACAAATTCTTTTTGAAACTCTGTGTATTTCTTCTGTCTTCAATGTTTTGCCCAAAGAATCTTTCAATATTACAACTATGCTTTTTAAAATAACTTGTCCTACCCAGGTCACTAGACAGTAAGAGGCAGAGCTAAAATACTATTTACCTTGAACTTACTCCCCTCAGAACCTGGAGAATAAGCAAAGTAATAGAATAAACCACCTTAGCTGATACACTGCCTGAATAAATCATCCCAACAATACATGTGCAGTACAGTGGGACCATTTCCATTGTGCTTCTACATGGAATTTCTCTGAGTCAGAATCAATGGGGCCCAAACTAGAAAATAGCATTTTAGGAGTTTTTGGATAAGTGCAAATGGTTAACATGCTCAGCTATTTGAATCCACCCACAGAGGCTCCTTAGAAGAAAGGCCTCATCATCTACTTAAATTTTTATTTTCAATTA